TTTCTTTCTTTCTTTCTTTCTTTCTTTCTTTCTTTCTTTCTTTCTTTCTTTCTTCATTCTTTTTTAAAAATAGTGTGCTGATTGCATGAAATGCCAAGAAAATGTGGGATGGAGGAAACTACTGGTTTCTTGTGTGGTTACAGGGTTACTTTATTTTGTTTCTTAAATGTTTGTTGAATGAGGATCAAGGAAGAAGAAAAGGCCAGTTGTGAGTGTGTCTGTCATGGTAATTTCATCTGTATAAACTAGTGAAACTTTATGAGGCTGGACCACTTTGGAAGCCCTTTTTTTTGTGGTTGAAAGTTGTATCCATCCTATATGCAATGGTGCATGCCACCTAAATTTGGTAACTGGTGTCAGTGTGGCAGCAGTGCTGAAATAATATGAAGTGATGGTTTTTCTAGAGATAAGTAACTGTTGGAGGAGATGATTATAGAGAGGGAGAAGCAATATCAAGAGACGTTTTGGTTGTGAAAACAGCTTTAGCTGTTGTACCACCACAGAATATTCTTTGTGGGTGGTTAGCGGGTGCTGTGGTGTTGTTTGCTTCTTCTTAGCTGTCAAATGTCTATCGTCTTTATCTCGCCTACATTTTTTTGTGTTTGTTACTCTCTTGTAACACCTCTAATCTTCGGCACTTATATGACCTTATTGTGTTGCAAGTGCCATAAAAACTCTTGCTAAAACTTAGAAGAATATTCTTTTTATTTTTTCTTTCGCAGGTCAGAAATGCTAAAGTATAGAAAGACTGGCGTCCACACCACTGTTGTCTGCCCTTTCTTTATCAAAACCGGAATGTTTGAAGGAGCAAAATCACGGTGAGGCATCTTCTCTGTACACTTGAAGTATTATTTTTGTTTTATGGGGAGAACGGATTCCCTTCATAGCTACGGTACCGGCGTCTGTGGTGTATTGGTAATGTTCTTTGCTGTTGCTTGTAGAAGATGTAAGTTTGATTCCTGCTGAGTTCGATTCTTGCTTAGATAAGTATATTTTATCAGATGCCTCTGTCTCTCCATCGGGATGCTAATCGTGTTCGTCCGGGGTTGGCCTTGATGGCAGGGTTGAATCCGTCCATCTATTTAACAATATCATTTGTTTGATAGGGATGTAGAATATTAATAATCAATATTCTGGAAATATTTGGGTACATTTTATTACTTTGGTTTTTTTTTTTAATTGCTTGTGTTACAGACTAATATAAACATTATCATTGTTAAAACTATTCTCGATGAAGTTCTGTCACTGTTTCTTGAACTGTGTGAAGGTTTCCTTGGTTGCTTCCATTGTTGGAGCCCGAGTACGCCGCTGACAAGATTATGGATGCAGTTCGCACGAACCAGCCTATGCTCTGTGCACCACGGGTCCTCTACCTCTTGTACTTCCTCCGTGGGTGAGTCCATGAGTCGAAAATGGTGAAATAGTAGTGGTTTAATACCTGTATCTACCCTATTAGCTTATTTAAGGAGCGGGACCTCTGTTTTAAAGTCCGTCTCCGAAAGGACAGAGCCAAATTAGAAATTTGAGTAAAGTGTATTTCTCAAGGACACAACGTCACTGAGTTGTAATGGTAATAATAGATTGCAGTTATTTAGCAATCTACGCCATATAAGTAAAGCGAAATGCTCGCAGCTAAAGGGATTTGAAAACAACAACAACAATGCCATATAAGTATAATTGGAATTGTCCAAGAGGGCCACCTATTGGCAAGAAGAAATGAGGTTGTCTCAGACAGTATCATTATAATAAATTATGTGTACGACAATGTTGAACCAGATGCTTGTCAAACTTTTGGGCACATGGAGTTTCTATCATATTAAAGCTTTTTAATTTGTCTTGCTTCTGATTAAAAAAAGTACCCATCTATTCTATCTTGAATGGAAGTCAAGATATGGAATTGAAAGGGGGGTGGGGGGTGGTCGGGGTGGCCTGGTATCTGAAAAAATTTGCAAGAAAATGGCCTCAAAAACTTTGGTGACTTCCAAAGCTTGAGTGTTCTCGGAAACAAATTTACACTTTTTAGTGCCTTTTATCAACATTTTGTTATTCTTTTTTTTTTCTTCTGTATAACTTTATTCGTTATTCTGTTCTCTTCTGTATAGCTCTGTTTGTTTTTCTCTTAATTCTTCGGTATGTAACTTTTTTGGTTATTCTTTTTCTGATTTCTGCGTAACTCTGTTTTTCTTTTCTCTCTCTTTTCCGTATAACTTCGTTGCTTTGTTATACCTTTCTCTCTCTTTTGTATTGTTTGTTTGGTATTCTTTGTCTCTCTCTTCTGTATATAGCTTTGTTTGTTTTTTTCTTCTCTCTCTTCTGTATAGCTTTGTTTGTTTTTTTTTTTTCTCTAATAGCTTTGTTTGTTATTCTCTTCTCTCTTCCATATATAGCTTTGTTTATTGTTATTTTTTTCTCTCTCTGTATATAGCTTTGTTTGTTATTCTCTTCTCTCTTCCATATATAGCTTTGTTTAGTATTATTCTTTTCTCTCTCTGTATATAGGTTTGTTCGTTTTTCTCTTCTCTCTAACAGCTTTATTTGTTATATCTCTTTTTCTCTAATAAATGTAGCTTTTTTTGTTATTCTCTTCTCTCTTCTATAACTATATACAACTTTATTTGTTATTCTCTTATCACTTCTATATGGCTTTGTTTGTTATTCTCTTCTCTCTTCTATATATGTGGGTGGTTGGTGGGTGCTCTGGTATGGTTTGCTCCTTCTTTCCTATCAAACATCTGTCGTCTTTATCTCCCCTCCTTCTTTTTTGTATATGTTACTCTCTTGTAACACCTCTAATCTTCGGCACTTATATGACCTTATGCGGATGCAAGTGCTGTAATACCTTTAATAAAACAAAATCTTTTCGATACATAGCTTTGTTTGTTATTCTCTTATCTCTTCTATAGATAGCTTTGTTTGTTCTCTTCTCTCTTCTGTATAGCTTTGTATGTTATTATCTGTGGGTGGTTGGCGGATGGTCTGGGGTGGTTTGCTCCTTCTTTCCTATCAAACATCTATTGTCTTTATCTCTCCTCCTTCTTTTTTTATGTTTGTTATTCTCTTGTAACACATCTAATCTTCGGCACTTATATGACCTTACACTTACAAAACTAAACTAAAATTGTTATTCTCTTCCCCAGGGTTTTCCCATCCACTGTTGCGGATGTTCTGGCTGAGTTCATCGGGATCAGCGCGTCCATGGACGACTTTGTCGGGCGCACCAAGCCAAAGACTGCCTAGTTCTGGGGTTCTGAACTTGTTTTTGTGACGAGGTTCCTACTGTATGTTGTGATGTCGTGGCCCTCTGTTCCCTTTTTTGTGACTTGTCATGTGAGAAGTTGAGAGGTTATGGAGGAAGAGGGAGGGTAGGAGTGAGAGGAAGAGGGAGGGTAGGATTGAGAGAGAGAGAGAGAGTGAGAGAGACAGGGAGGGAGGGAGAGAGAGAGAGTGAGAGAGAGAGATAGGGGAGGGAGTGAGAGTGAGGGAGAGTGAGAGAGATAAGGAGGGAGGGAGAGGGAGAGGGAGAGAGAGAAGGAGAGAGAGAGAGAGAGAGAGAGAGAGAGAGAGAGAGAGACAGAGAGGTCATATAAGTGCCGAAGATCAGAGGTGTCACAAAAGAGTACATGTAACGAACACACAAAAAAGGAGGAGATGTTGGGACCAGACAGGACTGAAGGAGCATACCACACCAGAGCACATGCCAAGCACCTACAAAGATAGATAGATCGATTGATCGAAAGATCGAACGAACAATCGATCGATCGATCGATAGATAGATAGATAGATAGATAGATAGATAGATAGATAGATAGATAGATAGATAGATCTACATCTATAATTCTTGAATCTCTATCCGTAACAGTTACAGGTTATACTAAGTGAGTACGTAGTACACTATTGGGAACTATTATAAGCACTTTTTTGACAAATCAGATGGCGTCAAATAAATGGCCAAGGGGTAAAAAAAAGATAGATATAGATACGAGAGACAGATAGATGGATAGATAGATAGATAGATAGATAGATAGATAGATAGATAGATAGATAGATAGAT